CTCTGGCCCCTGGCTCCCTCCCACCTGAGTGGAGCCCCCAAGAGCCCCCCACGCACGGCATGACTCAGTGACGCCCTTTAGGAGATCATTTGATCAATGACGTGGACAATTAGACTGTGAACCCGCATCCCCGCCGGAGCCTGTGGTGGGGAAGGAGGTGAGAGATCTATTTTTGAATCCTATCATCAATGACGAAAAATCGGCTCTGTCCGGGGGAGAGGTGTGACCCTCCAGAGGCCGGACCCCCAGCCACCTCAGCCTTCTGGTGTTTTTCCTTCCAGGGGATGCGTCATATCCAGGCCTGGGTTGGGGACTCAGGGACACGTGCTGGCCCTGTGTCCCCTCGGCCCCCGCGGCCCCGGAGAGCCCTGGCATGGGCCTGGCTGTCACGCGGCACTCCAGGCCCCGAGCACTGCACGAGGCTGGCACTGTGCGTGTGTCCCTCCGGGGCCACGTTCCAGGTGCGGCTGGGCCCGAGGCCTCTTCAGACTGAAGAGTCTTCTCTCTGATTGAACTTGAAACCAAACCGTCATGTTCTCGAACATGTACCAGGGTGCACCTCTCATCTCCCTCCACCCCCAGACCCCCTCCCTACGGCAGAGAAAAAGATGATTTCTCTCTCCAAAGATGAACTGTAGGCTCCGAAAAATAATCCCAAAGTGGCAGCTGTGGGCCTCTTGGTGTGAAAACCTCGAAGCCTCAACACCAGTAGGGGGGGACAACCTGGGGGAGCCATCGGAAGACTTCTCCCCTCCTCCGGGGCCCAAGCACTCTAGCTCAACACCCCTCTCACCACCCCCCTCCCTGTTCGCCTGAGTGCAAAGGCTGATACTTGCATTCCAAGTAGACCGGGTTCAGATTCCCAGACAGAGGAGGGGGCGTCTGCCTCCCCCAGCCCGGTGTTTCCCACCCTGATCCTGGGATCTCCAGGCCTCAGTGTGCTCAGCTCTGAAATGGGCCTTGCAATCCCTACTCAGCCCAGGCTGTGAGGAGGCTCTGAAGAGACTGGGAGAATCAGGGAGAGACAGAAAAGACAGTGCCTGCTGGCCTGGGACCCTTAACCCAGGGACGATGACTGCCCCGTCCGGGAGATTCCCTCCTGAGTGTTGCAGTCCTAGGACCTTAACCAGGAGAACTGCATCTCTGGGCACTGGGCGTGGCCTTGGAGGAGAAGCCCATCGTTCTGTCTTGGGGGAAAATGGCACGGGAGGAGGGGTAGAGGTGCCTCCTGTCTGTCCAGTGCTGACCAGGACTGGGTCTGTGGGGACCCAGACACCTCCGGAAAACAGCCCGGTCTGGGCAGAAGCCAAGCCTCTTAGCCAAGGTGGGCCGACGTCTTCCAAACCAGCCACCCTCCCCCACGGTGCATGCCCAGGACTAGCTGACCTCGGAGGCCGCTGCTGAGCCTCCCTGATCAGGGATTCTGCCTTTAATCAAGGGTGGAGTGGTCTGGGGCTGCTGGGGGTGGAGCCAGCGTTTGAAAGGGGGGAGGGGGAGAGAGCGGGTTGGAGACATTTCTCTGGCTTCCCCCAGACCACTTTCACCCATCACCAGGCCCTCTGCTGACCCCAAGGAGCCCAGCGAGCTGGACTGGGTGGGTTCCCCTTGCTTGAGGATCCTGGAGGTGGGGTGGGGGCTGCGGTTACCCGTAGAGCCGCTCTCCACCTGGCTAGAGGGAAGGACCCAGGGCCATGGAGGCCCGGGCCATGCATCCCAGCCCGGCCCCACAGCTGGCAGATCCAGCCCCTGCTACCTCCATAGAACCCTGTCGCATCATGCTGTCAGGCTGTACGGCTGTGGCCTCATGTCTCTGTGATCCGGGGGGGGCGGCCAGAATGCCCTGTGAACATGGGCTACTGGTCCTCTGGCAGGGAAGGGACGCCCAGACAGAGGAGGGGGCGTCCCCACCTCCTCCAGCCCCACGCTCCCCAACCCCCAGGGTTTATTAGCAAACAGCAGACGGTGCTGGCGACGTCTCCCCAAGGGACGAGATTGGCATTTTCCTGCTTTCTGTGCAGACTTAAAGTCTATGACAATCACCAACCTGCCCTCCCTGCAGCTCCTAAGCCACCCTTTCTGAGCGTCTCCTGGCTGAAAAGACGCTCTGGCCTCCTAAATGCACAAACGCTTTATGGAGACTAGAGCAAACCAGCAGAAAGCTCCCGGCTCAGCTTGTAGGTCCCCTCAGACAGGCAAGCCCCCTCCCCTCCCTGAAGCAGCCCTGCAGTGGGCAGGGGAGCTCCGGAAGGAACTGGGTGGGGGTGGAGAGCTCGTTTGCCCCCCTCGGAGTGCTCTCTGACTGGGAGCTGTGGATAGACATGGTAGCACAGTGCTTTTTTGCTTATGAAAACCTGCGTGCCCTGTGGGGACAGGTGGGACAGCCCTGTCTGTAGACTGAGAGGTAGGCTCAGAGAGGGAAGTGACTGGTCCAGGACTCTCAGCAGGCCTGGATGGGGCTGGGATTAGAGCAGGTGCCCACCAGCCAAGGGAGGGCCCTTTCCACCTACGCCTGTGACCTTTGGACGCAACTCCCTTGGGTGAGATCACCCTTCCCTGGCTTCCCCCTGCTTTCCTAAACTGGGGAGAACTGTGGGTGGGAAGAGGAGGGGTCAAGGTGTGGGGGGCATATCCCATGGCCACTGGGTCCCCCCTGTGTTCCCTACAGTCCACGACTTCTCCACTTGACTTTGGCGGGAGCCCCGGGAGCCCTCAATCCGGGGCAACCCAGCCCCAAGATTCTCCGCCTTCCTTCGCTCCTGGCTGAGAACTCAGTCCTTCCCAGGCTGCCTGCTGCTGGGATAATTTTGGAGGCTGAGGTCAGGAGCCTCAGAAGGAGGGAAGGGCGGAAGGTGCCTCAAGAAGACCTTGGCGATGGCCGTGGGGTGGACATTGGGACTTCCGGGCTTCGCCACCCTGGTCCCAGGCCAGGGGCCTTGGGCAAAAGACCTTCCGCCGCTGGACTCAGCTTCTTGAATTAAGAAAAGAGTCCAGCTGGACTCGGTGGCTCAGCCTGTAATCCAGTGCTTTGGGAGGCCGAGGTGAGTGGATTGCCGGAGCCTGTGGGTTCGAGATCCGCCTGGGCAACTTGGCGAGACCTCATCTCTACAATAAATAAAAAATTAGCCGGGCATGGTAGCACGCACCTGTAGTTCCAGCTACTCGGAAGG